CGGCCGGGCATACGGTTCCCCCCGCGGGTGACGCCCGACGGGCAGCGCATCAGCGCCCTCCCGGCGGCCGACGCAGCGGCGTGGGTGCGGCGGCTTGGCGGCGATGCGGGCGCGCCAGCCGCGCCGGCGGCGGAGGCCGCGGAATCGGCGCCGGCGGCGCCGGCGCACCCGGCGGCAGGACACCACATGCCGCCGGCGCCGGTGTCGGCGGCGATGGCGGCGGTGGGGCTTACTGCGAAAGCCAAGGTGAGCCGTGGCAGCCCCCAGACCCAGGCCCTCCACCTCTGGGCGCGCGACCGAGGGCCTGAATCGCTGGCAGAATGCATCAGGGCAGCTCGGTCCCGCCAGCCAAGCGCCCAGCTGGAGGGGCAGGCTCAGCCCGCCGGATGGTGTCACTCCCGCCCCTCGGCCCCGCGCCTCCTCAACTTCCGAAAAACCATCCCCGGGCCCCGCCCGCTGGCACTGGGCGCGCGGCCCTCGCCTCCTCGCCTGCCGGTTGACCTGATATCTCTCCCCATCTCCCCCACCCAGCGAGCTCCCGAGAGCCCCCCACCGCCCCTCCCTGCGCCTGGTTGGATGTCGAGCGGCGCCTCCCCCCTTAACCCCCTCACCCCACATACTCACACAATCATACGTGCACACACACACACACACACACACACACACACATGTGCACACATTTGCACACGTATGCGCACGTGCGCGCACACACACACACACACACATACACACACACACACGTGCGCGCGTGCAGGTGGTCACCACGCGGATCAAGGAGCAGCCGGCGCGCATCAAGATGAGCGAGAAGGAGCTGGAGGCCATCATGCTGGGCGGCGCCATAGACTGATCGGATCAGATCAGATCATAGAAGATCAGGCGATATCTGATCTTATCCGATCCGATCCGGTCGGCGTCTGTGTGGGTCGCTGTGTCGCCCGTTGCAGAATTTGCGCTGCTGAGAGCCAGGGACGCGGCCGCGCACCTGGGTGGCTTGATCTGCCGCGGCCGCCGGTCGTAGCGGCGACCCCTGCCCTGACGGCCGCCGCTTGGTTGCACCCTCCTTCTGGGCGCGGCGCGGCGCCGCGCGGCTCGGCGGCGCGCTCGCAGACACTGGGGTGTGCTGAGTTTTTTGGTGCGCGCTGGGACCCTTCATGCTTGAAGCCCAACGCGGCGGCCGCGGCCGCGCGGCCGGGCGGTTGCTGGTCAGTCTGTGGCGAGTGCCTGAAGGGGAGGCTGCCACTGGCCGCCTCGTTGAATGGGTTTTTGCAGCCACGACCTGTTGACATGAGTTATCAATCATTTGGAGTGGTTCGCCGAGGCGTGCAGGCAGCGCAGCTGGGGCCTGGGCTGGACAGCTCTCTCAAAACCCTGGCATGATCAGCGAGGGGCGCCTGTGCTCCCCAGCACCCTCCTTGCACAAGACAGGCCCCCTCCCCCGCCCCCCCGCGGCGCAGCTGGGCGGGCCCGGCCGCACGAGGCCCTAGCAACTGCCGGGTATCATGAGGCGTGGACGCGGGGCGCGGTGAAGGCGGTCATGCGCCACGCGCGGGGGCGCTCCAGCATGCGCACGCCCCTCAAAAGAAGCAGGCGGCAATCCGAAGCCCCACCAACCCTCCACCCGGCCCCGCGCTGCGCCGCTGGTCCCTGTGACTGCTGCCGTACACCGCCACGCAAAATGACCAGGAAGGGGCGAGCACGTTACAGAGATGTGCAGGCGCAAAGCCCCTGCGCGCGCAACTGTCCTGCCCCGTCGAGCAAGCGCGCGCTGTAGACTAAGTAGTGCTGCCGCGGCGGGGGGCGGGAAGACGAATGCCGCATCCCTGCAACGCGGCGAAGCCGCAGCCGCGAAGTGGTATTGCCCACAAAGCGGGACGTTTGTAGTATGCATCTGTGTGTGTATAAAGGTGTGCGAAGGTGAGGGCCGAAAGCCAGTACTGCCTGCGGCGCGCCGCTCCCGTCGGCGCGGGCGTCTGCGGCCGCCCGCCGCGCCCCGCGCGCCCTGCGCCCCCTGCGTGCGCCTTGAATCGGCGGCGCCAGGGGCGTGCGGGCGGCGGCGGGCGCGGCGCGGCTACCACAGCTTCGGTTGGCGGCGGGTGCGCCGAAATCCAGCGCAACAGAGGACGCGGCATGGCACATGCGCGCCACCTAAAGCGCGTGAGCCCTGGCCCCTACCATTTTGACAGTCCAGCACGGGGCAGGGCCAAACGCGGCGCACGTAATGCCCATGTGTGGCCCCGCACAGCACGCCCCCGCCGCGCCGCCGCATGCAGCCCGCGCCGCGCCCCGCGCGCTGCGCCGGCAATGCGCCTGCGCCCGGGCGCGCGCGGGCGGCTCCGTGGGAAGCGGCTAAGCGCCGATCCATAGCGGCAAGACAAAGAGTGGCTGCTGGGACCGCCACTCCCCAGAGGGGGGTTTCGGTGTGTGTGCGAAGCGATGCCTACAAGAAATGGCAATTCAAATCGGGGGCCGGGGCGGCGCCGGAGTTGCACGCATGCATCTGTGCATGCACGTGAGTGGGGCCCCGGGAGGCGCTCCCACGAGAGCAGGGTTTGATGAACGCCCACAGATGGGGCCGCAAACCTCGGGCGTTGAGAAAGCGCCTTCGGGGGCCCGCAATGAGGCTCCCGAGGGTGCGCCGCAACACAAGTGCAGGAAAACGCAACATCTGTCGCCAGGGTGCTGTTGAGTGACACGCGCACGGGAAGCCGCACCGGGCTCAACTTAGAGCGTTGCAGCAGCACGCCCGCCGCACGCCCCCCGTGGGCATCAACACAGCCCGTAGCCAGCAGCACCGGCTTCTGATACATCCGGACCAATCAAACGTGGACATGCGCAGCTGCGCGCGGCGGCGCCTGCTGGCGCGCCCCGCTTCCCCGGCCGGCGCGAGGCGGGACCCGGCCCGCCGCCCGCCGCAGCAGCAGCGGAAGTCTGACTGCCCCAAAAGACAAAGCGGCCGCCCAGACGCCAGTGCACAACGGTGCTGCGCGCCTGATCGACATCATCTGCCCTGAATTGCTGCCGGTCAGAGACAGACCGAAACCCAAGTGGCAGCGCCGGACCCGCACGCACACGGCACCCGGCACGGCGACGGCAACCCAGGAGCGCAAGGGTACAGCTGCGCGCCACTCGAGCAGGGTTGCTCCGCGCGCCCTGCGCGGCGGGCGTAGCATGCCGCCGCAGCACGCCTGTGCAGCTGCTGCGCCTGCGAGAATCGAGAATCGAGAGCTCCGCCCACGGCAAGGGCGTAGTGCGCAGCGGCGCAGCTCCCGGGGCCCCTGGGATTTCACTGAGGCCCGCCATTCCCAGATCTCAGATCCTCCAGATCACACGTGCGACACCGTGTCCTCATCCAGATCCGACCACTCGATCTCGCAGCCGCCGTCCACGTCCCCGCACACCTCCACGCCCGCCTTGGCCATCGTCACGCGCTTGGCAGCCAGCAGGGCGTCCATTGCCCCCCCAATCTTGATCCTGTTGGCAGACAGGAAGTCATAGATAAGATCCACAAGCTTGGCCAGGATCGCGGACTCCATGAGCGTGACGACCCAGCCGAGGCCGACGGTGCCGAACAGGCCGCGCAGCGCGTCGGTGCCCTGCAGCACGCGGCCGTCGGGGCGGATCGCGTGGATCGTCGTCATCGCGTCCTCAAACTCCTGCGGGGTGACGGCGGCGGCGGTTGGTCGTTTGACAGCGGGTCAGCAATGGCGGGAACGGGTGTGTGTGACAGGCGGGGTTGAGAGGCCGGTTGCAAGGAGGTGGGAGATGCGGGGAACACAGCTCCAAGCCTCATGCAGGCGGCGCTTTTGAACTCTGTGTATAGGGCAAAATGCGGGGCACTTGCGGCTGATTGTAGAAAAACCCTTGACAAGCGGCACAGAACAACCATCCTACCATACAGCCGTTCCAAGCCTGGACGTCGCTCCCCTCTTATCCCCCGCCAAGGAGGGCGCTGCACCCACCACGCCCATGTTGGCCATCGGGTCGTAGTCAATGTCCGCAATGTCGACAAAGCGGATGCGCTTCGACTTGTCCTGGCGCTCCAAGACACCCTGCGGCGGTCAGGGGCGCGCACACGCACGCATGCGTGGAAAACTCACAGGCGGACGCAGGACCGTCGGAAGCGCCTCGGACGATGCAACCTCGCCCACCGCCAAACGCGCGGGCGCGAGCCCGCACCGGGCCCTGGGCCGCGGCCGAGGCCTCCGCGCATGGCCGCCTCCGCCGCCTTCTCGCTGCTTTCCCTTGGCCTGCCGCACCCGCGGCCCCTCCCTCGCAACCAGCCGCGACCAGCCGCGACCGCCCCCTGGCAAGCCCCCGCAGCCGCCCATTTCCCCCCACACCTTGAGTGTGAGGCACATGCTGCACTCCCCGTCGTAGAGGTATTTGATGTCCCAGCTCATCGTCAGCCCCGCGCCAGTCACCACGGCAGCCTGACGCGACAGGAGGCGAGGATCAGGGTCAGGGTCAAGAGGACCGGCGATCCCCGGCGCGCCCCACGGGCGCCGCGCGGCCCCCCCTGCGCCAGCGGCCGCTGGGCCGCGCCTCGAGGCCAAAGGACACAACGGGGCTGCCCCGCGCCGTGCCCTGCCAGCGTGGTTTCACGTCCAGCTCCCTGCCCCACGCGCGCGCAAGAGCGAGGGGTGTGCCGCTCACCACCTCCTTGTCCTGGTAGGCGCGGTACCGCTCCTGCATCAGCGGCGCAAAGATATCTGAGCGCGACACGATGCTGCGGGGGAGGGAAAGGGGGAAGGGCGGGAGCGCGGGCCGTGCACGGGTCAGGGAGGCCGCCAGGGGGTCAGCGTAGGAGCACAAGCCCCGTGGCTCCGCAGCGTGACCATCGGTCGGTATCCGGGCCCTCACGCGCATTCGAGCCAGCTCGCGCCGCGCCCACACAAAAAGGGACCCTCCAGCGCTCACCCCAGCGGCCGCCCCTCCTCGTCGACCACAGGCAGCCGCCGGATGCGCTCCCGCAGCATCAGCGCGCCCGCCTCCTCGACCGGCGTGCTCGGCGTGACGGTGATCGCGGGGGCCGTCATGTGGGCCTTGACGCGCTCCTGCAGGGAGCCGCCCTGCTGGCGGACCTTGATGATGTCTTTCCGCGAGATCACGCCCACGACCTTGCCGCTTGCGCCGACCACGGGCAGGCCGGTGAACTGGGGGCGAGGTGCGGCGTCGCGGGCGGGGGCGTTGAAAGGTGGGGGCAGGTCGGCGGTCGTATGAGGTGTGAGGCTCGCGGCGCAGGGGCGATGGTGCAATGCTGGCGGCCGCCTGCAAGGGGTTAAGGAGGGAGAAACTGGCGGGCGCATGCGCGTCGCACGGCCTGTGGGCAAGGGAGCAGGGTTGCATGCGGCCGCATGCATGCGGCCGCATGCACACGCGCGCGTGCACATGCACGCGTGCCCCCACCTTAGACAGCCGTGGGATGATCGCCTGCAGCGACTCGCCCGGGCGCGCGGCCTGGACGGTCTCCCCATGCGACGCGCTGCCATGCATGATGGCCTCCACAAAGCCCAGGGGGCAGGTGGTGACCGGCGACAACAGCTCGGAGTAATCCATGCTGCACATAGTGCGGGCGGAGGGCCGGGGCGGCGCGCGCGTGCGCGATGAGAGGGCGCAACGGCGAGATGCAGGGGGCGCGCGCATGGGTTCCGCTGCAGCACAACCGGATAGTTCCAAACTGGCAGGATCGGCCGCGCTGGCCGCAGAAGCCCGAATAAGGTTTGCCGATCAGAGGCCGTGTTGAGGGCAGCCTGGGCGTTGGCTGCTGGGGCCGCGACCACATGGCGTCGCCGCTTTCACTTGGTGCGGTGCCGCCCGCCAACGGCGGCTGCGGTAGCACATGACGCGCAAGACAGCAGTGACCTGGCGGGCGCCCACAGAATCCCCATAGCTAGCGCCCAAGTCCTCACTTTAGGCTGACATTATTGTTGTCGACGTTTCCAAAGGGTGACGAAGCCGCCTCGCGCTCCGGCGCAGCAATGGCAACGCGGCGCGCCAGCGGTCGCGCCGGCACCTCCGCATGCCGCGCCACCATAGCGGTCGACGGTCGGACGATCGCATTATTGCGGCGAGCCGGAAGGCTGCCGCTGTAGGAACGAAGCTGGTTGAGCATCATGCTGCCGCGTGCTGGTTGCCAACGCACTGGTAATGCGAGTCACGCCAGCAAGAATGCCCAGACGGATACGTTCTAAGCAGTTCTGAATGTATTGACGCGTGCAGAAGCCCTGTGGGGAAGTGGTCCCGACCCACGATGAGACAACAGGTCAAGGGGCCGCGGAGGGCTGCAAAAGGATAACGCTTGACACAAGATAAGAATCTTTGGATCAGACCGATTAGATGCAGCCCTCTTGATGTGGTGCATGCTGGCGCGGTCAACAAATCGAGCTCAGCTGTCCGTCTAGCTCCAGTTTAGACAGGTGGATGACCGCCTTCCGACGAGGACAAAAGGGAGACGGATAGTAGCCAAGCCGTCTCCCTCAAAAATGCAGGTAGACAAGCCTCGGCAAAGGCAGTGGTGGCCCCGCCACACATCGCCGTGAGTCGCAGGCTGGAGGCATCGGAGCGTACACCACGCGTCGCGACGTGCGTCCATCAACCGACAACCACAACGAAGCAACGAGCTGGAATTCCCTGCAGAATTTTTCAGGGGCGCTTATGAGCATCACCCTTGTATGTGGGTTTGATCGGGCCAACCGCCTCCAGGGCGTCCACCTTTTAGAATGACAGTCGCAGTTTGGCACACACGAGCGTGCTGCGAAAGTCGGATTGGGCAGGAGGACGGGGGGGTACATGCAGCTGCCTCCTTGAGAGGCATTAGAACGTGACCATGGCCTACCCCATGCAGCGCAGCGGTGGCGTGCGTGGCATTGCCGAGGGAGGTAATTGGGAGGCTGGTTCAGCCATGCATGTGGCGGGCCGCCGGCTAGGTACGCATTGCTTCGTGGCCTGTGAAGCCCGCTCATGTAAGTCCATGCGGCCAATCAAGTGCAAGCAGATGCTATCCCACGAATCACATGCGCCGTAATGTTCTCCAGGCCGGCAAAGCACTGTATTGGACAAGCCAGCTGCCACTCGAACCACAGCTGCGCTCGCAGCTGCTTGCTGTGGCAGAGCAACCACCATGATTGGCCATGCTTGCCACCTTCAACTATCAGTGAGCAAGTTGGTCCATATGCAGCTTGTGAGGCTGTGGGGCGGCCCCTACGCCCACGTGCCCCAGGTGCGCTTTCTGAGCTCCTAGTCATCAGGCGGCAGGTCGGCCCCCTGTTTTCCTTTACACATACCTCCACGGAACGCAGTCAACACGATACATTGGATAAGTGCATTACATTCTTGCATGCGCGCACCCATACTGAGATCCTGGAGGCTGGGTGCATCAAAATATCGCCCGGGCGACAACCTGCACGACGACGACACCCTCATCGTCGCTCGTCACCTCGCTTGCAATTCATACACATAAACACACACTGGCATGCTCGTCAGCGCGAGGACCAGCACCATGCTGGCTCAGGCTCGGCGTGGCACTCGTCCTGGCAGGGCTGCCTGTGCGACGGGCAGGGCACGTTGCTGCCGCGCACGAACTACGCCAATTGAGTCTCTGAGCGATCGGCGTCAGGGTCCGGAGCACCTGCGGCAGACGCTTGAGGTAGGCGCGGCGCCAGCGACCGTCTACCGTATTGCTGGCAGCGACAGCCTGATGCATGCAGCACCCTGCCGCCACCTTGCTGCATTGGCAGCTCAAAGGCACTATGTTCTGAGGGTTGCACCCCCTGGAACATGCGCGGCGGTTCTGTTTCTGGTGCCGCGCGCACGCCCGGGTGGCGCTCGTGCCTGCAGCCCAGCAGGGAGCCCTTTACAGCCCTCCCGTGTATGGCCCCAAACCCGGTCCACCTTCTAGCCGCTGGCGCTCCCATTCAACACATTTGCAGGCCTACCAACTCGCCCCACCTCTCTCAAGCATCCATCCCCATGCGTACGCGGCCCCCCTCCCCCTATACTCACACTCTCTTGTTCTCGCACTCATGTACATTCACACACACACACACACACACACACACACACACACACACAGCTTTACTACCTCCATGCCTGGGGGGCAGCCGCCCCTGAGCTGGTGTCGGCCCTGTGCGACCGCTCGGTGTCGTACTCAGACGTGCGTGGCGGCGCCGCCGACGCGTTCGGCTGGCGCGGCCTCGCTGACGTCATCGCCGACTGCTGCGCCGCCCACCCGCTGCTGCGCGTCCGCCTGGTGAGCGTGGGCGCTGGCCCCCGCCGCGCGCGCGCACTTGTGCAGTCGTTGGGTGCGCGTGGGAGGTTGATGCGCGGGTTCCGGCGCCCCCGGTGCCCGCGTGAGGGCCAGGGCGGCTACAGACAGCGAGCGGCCCCTCAGCGCAGGCCGCCGCCTCGCCGCTGTCCCCTGCGTGCCGCCGCGCGGCGGGCGCCACGCCTGCAGCTGAGGGCCCTCCGCAGCCCGAGCACGCCGCGCGCACCCTGACGACCCGGCGGCGACTTACCCCTGCGTTTCCGCCCACCCTCGCAGGACGGTGTCTGGATCGACCCCTCTTGCGCCTTCGCCACCGCCGAGTGGCGCGCCACCGCCGCGCACCTGCTCCCCGGCCGCCGCGGCGGGCCGCCGCCCTCCGGCCTCGTGTCTGAGGTTGTTGGCCTAGATCAGATCACGTTCGGCCCCGACGGACTCATCACATCCATCGTCAGCCTCAGGGACCGCTTCGCCGAGGAAGGGGCGGCGGCGCGGGCGGGCCGCTCGGACGGTTGATGCCTGGTGCAGCCGCTGTTGCTGCCGCCGCCGCCGCTGCAACAGCAGCAGCAGCAGCAGCAGCACGCCGCAACTCATGCAGCGCCCGCCACCGGGCGCCGTGCCCGGCTGCACCGCGCCAGCGATGGCGAGCACAAGTGGGCGACGAGTTCACTGTGTTTTGCAGCTTGAGCCCCACCATCCCCCTCTCCAAACGACAACCCTTTATCCTGGTCGGTTTGGCTGCCCCGGGGCGACCCTCGGCCGTCGTTGGCTACACCCTCCTCTCGGCCCGTGCCCAGCGCCCGCGCCCTCGCCCCCACTCCAATTCTGTTCCAGTGTATTGATCACGCCAGGCGGGGGCACGCCGGCCGCGCGCCGCCGCCGCCCCGCCGGCCAAAGTTTTCAGGCGCCGCCAACTGATGCTGCCGGCGGACGGCCAGCACAGTGCGCTGCCTCTTTCGAACCCGCCGCCGCCATGGGGCCCCGCGGCCCCCGCGCTCTGCGGCGTGCGGGCCGCGGTGCCCAAGCTCAACATTGACTCCTGCATCTGCCAGAGCCTTGGATCCTGCATCCATGTGCCCACACGTCCTCCACCAGCGTCCTAGCGCGGCGCCTGCCCACGGCCTCCAGGCCGCCGCCGCCGCCGCTGCGCTGCGCGGACCACTTAGCGCTTTCGCCTCAACGCCCGGTAGTCGTGCATTCGCATTTCACCGACGGCGGCGCGCCGCCCAGGCGCGCCCCGCCTTCGCTGTCCGGCCTCCAGCGTTTAGGGCATGCCCCGCGTGCCCTCACCGCGGCGGCCCACGGGTGCATTTTGGGCTGTCTTGTCAGCACGCACGCATGCACAAAGCCCTCTTTTCTCGTTGCCGCAGCCGCGGCCCCCAGGCGCGGCCCGCCGCGGCCGCCTCGAGGCGTCTGTCGCCAGCTGCGACCAGCAGCAGCGGGGTTGAACGACGGCGCATGTGAAGACCATGCTTTTGAATGTTCATAACGGCGACGCCCCGCCCGCATCCTTCGGGCCATGCAGAGGGACGCGCGCGCCCGCGGTCGCCGCGCCGGGCGGGCGGCGTGTTTTGCAACTGGCGCGTTGTTGGGGTGTCGCGACATCGGGCTGTCCACCTTTGCCCAGTCAGCGTACCCGCGCCTTTTCGCGACATCGTCTTCCCTGCCTCGGCGCCCAGCGCCTGGGCGCAGGGAGGTGGTGGGGGCGAAGCGCGAACGTGGAGCTCGTCGGCGTGCGATAGGTCATGGTTGGCGCCACCCCCTCGCCTTTGCCAAGGCTTGGCACTTGCAGGATTATTTTGGGCACCAGGGGCCCGTCTTGATACTGGCGAATCAGCAGGGTATTGCAACGTTTTTTTGAGGGGCGTCGGGGGGGGCCTGGTGTCTATTCTGAATCATGATTGCTTTGGGACCCCTTGTCAGCTATTGTTGCATTGAGGCCCGCACGGAGTCACCCAAACCCAAGCAGCCGTCCATTCCAAGCGCCCCATTTTGCCAACAGCACGCGGCAAGCGGCCGGCTGACGCCGCCGCCTCCGCTCTTTGGGCCAACCCCGGTTACCTGCCGGTTGCGCCGCGCCATCTGCGCCCGCGCACACGTACATGCATGTATATATGTGCACAAACAATCAGGCATCCCCCGTCTTGGTCCCTTCCCTGTCCTCTGCACTGCCTCGCACAGCCGATTAGTCACGCTGCAGTGGCTGCTATGCACACCGCTGTCCTGGCCCCCAAGCTGGCGCCGCACTGGATTGAGTTGTGTTGGTGCACCGGCCATCAGCGTGGGTAAACGGCATGTCGCTTTGGTTTTGCGTGGGCCGCTCTCAAGTGAAATAGTACGAGCGGCGCGTGGGCAGCAAAACAGGACGTGGCCAGCCCCGGGAAGACCGGCCGCCTCCGGCAGCACGCAGTGGGGCGGCATGCAGCTGGCAGGGTTCTCACTGAATGACGCGGCGGCAAGGTGCAGCAGGGCGAGCCGACCGAAGGCAGGGGCTAACTCCTTGGCAGCCCCAGGTTGCTTGCTGGCGGTTTGCCCGCTGCAGGCCGCGTGTGGGGGGCGGTCGAAATGGCAAGGAGCCGCTGGCAGATCTGCTGCCCGCTGCAGCTTCTATCTGGGGCGCAGCGAGGTGGGATGGCGGCCAAGGGCGGCGGCTACGAGGACTTATCCCCGGAGCCGCGGTTACGGGTCGGGCCTGGTGACAGGCTAGAGGCATCCATTTCGACAGCTGCGCGGCATAGATACCCTCTCCGCATCTTCGTAACGGGCACTGCAGGCGAGCGGGCACCAGTTCTGTATGCGCCGTACAAGCGGCGCGCGAGCACCTCACCAAGACGCAATGCGACTGCAGTTTAGGGCTCGGCTCCATTGAAATCACAGCAATCGCAAATTGTTGACGACAAAGGAGACTTGGTGCCTTGCCCCCGGTTGCTGGCTGCAATCCGAAGCTATGCAAGCCGCCCCTGGTACCCGCAGCTGACCTGTGCCCCCCTGGCAGCAGAAGCTGCCAGGGCAAGTGCCCCTTTTCCCATGTTTGCCCTGCTTTTGGCCCAGCCGCGCGCGGCTTGTCTTGGCTTTGACATATCGTGCGGTTCAAGGAGTAACAGTCTGGTCCTATCACTGTTCAGCAATGTCGCCACCAAGGCCAAGCACAGAGTAGGATTGGGCGAGGGTTGGCCCGGCCAGCCAAGCGAGCAAGCCGCACTGGGTCGCACAGGACTCACTGTGGACAGCAGCTTAGCCAGAGCGCACTTCAAGGTGCACGCCAGCACCTGTCCAAGTGTAGACACACGGCAGCGGCAGACCCCAGCACGCGCCACCCCGCCGGTGACCTGCTTGCCACCTACGACCGCTGACCCAGCCGGTCCGCGGCACAAGCGAACGCTGTGCAGCCCGAGCCGGGCGCCCACGACCCAGGGGCGCTGGCCGGGCGAGACGTTGTATACAGCCATGACAGTGAGGCTTTGTATTCTGCTCAACCCCCGCTTCCTGAGTACAATTCGTCTGAAGTAAAAAGCGCCTACAGTTGCAGCAGCTGCAGCTGAAGCAGCTGCCTTGCACTCATCCCACCTGATTCTCTTCTCCGAAATCTGCCAGTGCACACAAACTCTTCCCCAGACACTTCGATCATTCGACCGCACTGCAGCAGCCCCTTCGCTGAGGTTAGTCACTTCCTCCGCACTTGAAGGTCTAAGTACTATCATCACAATAGCAGAAACTGTGCCGGTTTCACCCCCAGCGGCGAGTTTGGGTGAGCAGGCACTTGCACCTGGGCTGCACTCAGTGCCTGCTTGTGCGCAGAGGTGCAGTGTGGTGGCATTCAACATGACGCTGGCTTCATCGCCATGCTGGGTACAATGCCAGGTCAATCGTTCATGCATGTTTGTGCTGCCTCCACATACACATGCTCACATACCTCTGCGCTGTGTGCGCAGGCAGGCCTCAGACCCCATGGATGCGCCGACTTCAAGACAGCAGCTGTTGCAGGCATTGCCTGCGCTATTCCCAGGCGACGATGATATTCGCTTTTGCGGTGTTGCGGCATATATCATCTTCCAGAGGACCGAGGATTGGGCTGCTGGTCTGCTGGCCCTGCCAGAGCCCTACAGGCAGGCCGCCATCCAGGCAGCTGTGCAAGGTGGGTCGGCCCTTGTGTAAGACGCTGACGCGGTGCAGCAGCTGCACAGTGTGCCTCATGTATCCAAAAGTACTTGAGGGTGCTAAGTGGCAGTTAGAGGCAGTTTCAGTGGTGCCGCTGTGGTGCCGAGAGGGTGCCGTGTGTTCACACGCACTTGACAGCCGACACCGCTCTTATGCCGCTGGTGCCGTTCACCCCTCTCGCATGCCGCTCTCCTCCATACATGCTTCCCCTCCGGGTGTGCTACAATCTATGCACCATCCTAAGTTGGCCTCGAATTCCCATGCTGTGTTTCGCCGCATGCATGGTGTCGACATCCCGCTCCTTGCTGTAACGACGACACTCAGGTGCTGCAGGAGCACGGGCAGGTGAGGCTTGCAGGCGCACCGCGCATGCATACTTGCGGGTTAACGAGGCTGGCTGGCGGTTTGACACCGCAACTTTGCAACATCTGCCTTGGCTAGCAGTAGTGCAGCCTCGAGCCCCTGTACTTGCCAGCATGCCTGGTCCCGTAGACGGCAGGCAGGTGAGCCTAGGAAGCGTTTCAGGCCTTGGCACCTTGTGCACCTTACAAGCAAGCCCAGGTAGCCCTGCCTAGCCAGCAGTGGCGCACCTACGTAGAGGCGTGCAAATCGCACTGATGATACATGCGCCCCGACCACTCTGCCCGTATCGCAGCATCTGGAGGCGAGCGCTTTATGCAGCTGCTGCGCCAGGCTGCTGTCAACCCCAAGGACAATGTCCTGGACTACCTGGTGCGGTACTTTGCACCCCAGATGGCAATTTCAATCACCCCTCAAGGTGCCGCGAAGCTGTACGACGAGGCCGCCAGGCTGCCCCACACTCGGACGCGCGCGGCGCTGGAATGCTCTGAGGGCATCACCTTGAACGGGCCTGTCGCAGCTGGCGCAAGCCGCAGCGTGCTCATGTATGCGTGCGAGCAGGGTGTCCCTCGTGTGTTCAAGATGCCGCCGGGTGCACACATGGCAGCACGGGAGTTTGCAGCCTGGGAATCAGCCAGCAGGCAGCTTGGGGCTGAGTGCCTTGTGGGGCCGCTCAAGCTGATTACTTTGCCATCCAGCGGCGATGGCAGGGAGGTTCGTCATGGCATCCTGATGCCTGCCTACGTAATGTCACTGCAGCAGGTAAGCATGTGCATAAAGCGTTGCCATTGCAGCAACATTCGGGCTATAGGATTGCTTTTTGCTAGGTGCCCGCTAACAAGAACAGTTGGCGGGGACACAGTTGTTCCTTTTTTTCACAGCCATTATCAGCAGTGTTTTGAGCGTGCATGTGCGCGGCTGTGGGTGTGAATGCAGGTGTCACACCTGGATGAGCTACCCGCCCTCAAGCTCGCCCAGCGCATGGCGCTGGCGCTCAAGGCATTGCACAGTGCCGGGCTTGTGCACAGCGACGTGAAGGTGCGGGCAGTGTCGTCCTTTAGTTGCACGCATGCAGGCAGCCCCTTTGATGTCAGGTGCACAGTACGTGTTACATACCCCAGGGCGTTTAGGTGTGTGTTGATTGCCACCCTGTTAAGAACAAGTAGGTACCTCCCCTCTACATCGTTGGCCCCCATGCAATCTTACCCACACACCTCTGGCCTTTCTATGGTTTCTGTGCATGCCATGCCTGCAGCCCTCCAACGTGTTCCTGGACTCTGAGGGCAGCAGCTACCTGGGTGACTACGGCGCCGCCGTAAAACAAAAGGAGCCTGTGCGCGAGTGGACAGACGTGTTCATGCCGACGGACATCGACAGTCGCATGCTGACCGCAGCGCACCCGTGCATCGACGCCATGGCGCTCGCAGCGACGGTGCTGACTGCGCTGCGCAAGATGCCTGGCACCCGCGGGCAGCAGGGGCACCAGGGAATGGCCACCCCAGAGCCGTTCACGCTACAGGAGCTTAGGGAGGGGGCGCAGCGGGTCGAGAACGGTGAGCTCAGGCAGCTGCTGACCGCGCTCACGCAAGCTTGACGGCCTCCGTACAGGCCAGAGCGTTGTCATCAGTCCTCTAGGGGACGGCTCTTGTGCGACATCTGCTGCACGCTCGGCTATCCATCAACCAAGCGCAACGTTGCGGCCCACCAACGGCGTTGTGCGCTGCACGCGTGGAGCCGGCGCAAGGCTGCCGGTTTCAAGTGGTTGTGGGGCAAATTGCTGCCAATTTCATTGGCTGTGCTGCTGGGAGCCCTCTGCAGCTGCTGTAAACATGCATCAATTCACATTTGTGGTGTGAATCACTGTGGGGTTGGACATGCGCATGCAGGTGAATTGGAGTCAAACCCCCCACGTCACGCACATGAGCGCCAAGAGTGTCTCCCCTCCGCTCGCTGGCTGCAGTCGCTCGCTACATCTACGTGCTCTCCCTTGCAACTAGAGCGTTGAGGATGACTGCATAAAGAAAGTTACAACAATGAACGGATGTGCGCATGCGTGCAGGTTAAATCCCGATGAATCCGACGCCATTTGCACCCCATGGAAACCCTGGCTGATTCGGCAATCTGTGCGGCCCAGCGATGAGGGCGCGCGTGTGGCTTTGAGTGTTATACCATCAGGGAGTGGGTTGGAGCATAGAGCACGGCTGATGGCCGGAGCCGCTAACATGCAGCCCAAACGGCAGCCGCGACGGCGGGCGGGGTGTCAGACCATGCAGGACAGCCCGGCTTGGGCAGCCGGCCAACGGACGGGGCGCCGCTCGGGCAATGGACAGGGCAAGCGCCGCACATCGGCTCCGTGCTGCGATTTCGTCCGTTGCAAAATCGTGAGAACAGCAGTGCGGGGCGAGGGCACAGCAGCACCTGAGGGGTGCGGGCGAGGCCCGCGCGGCGTGGGTGTTTGGGCGGCGGCGGCGAGAGGCGGCGCGGCGAGGGCCGGCGGCGGCAGCAAGGCGGCCGGCTGCACGGCTGTGGGTTGCGAGGTGGGGCCGAGAAGGGCACGCGCCTCTGGCCGGGCTTGGGGTGGGTGCCGGGCTGGGCGGCGCGAGCCGGCAGGCCAACGGAGCCTCGGCCACGTGGCGAGAGCGCCGGTTGGTGGGAAGGCTGTGAGGGGGGGGGGGAGGGTCGCACGGCCCCGCACGCATGGGCGGGCCGCCGACACTGCGACTTCCCGCACACGAGCAAGCACGTGCACTGGGGCGGGGCGCCCCCTGCAGCAGGGGAGGGGGGGGGAGGGGAGCGGCAAAACAGTGGCGGACGCCTGCAGAGCCGTGGATCAAACCCTTGGGCGCAGACAGTTCGCAGTTCTTGTTGGCGCGCGGCCGTTGGGGCGCGTTCAATTATCGCAGGCGGCAATTGATATGGAATGCCTGAGCTCCGCGGCCGCGGGCGCCGGCGGCGGCGGGCCGCCCGCGCGCGCGCGCGCCCCGCTCGGCCGCAGGGTGGGGGGTGGCGGTCTCGGCGCGAGCGTGCGGGGCGGGGGGGTTGCCTGGGGGCGCCCTGGGCGGCAGCCTGGAAAGCGGGGCGGCGGGCCGCCGAGGGGGCTGCGTGCGGCGCGCTCGGCACACGCGGCACGGGGCTGCACCGTTGTGGGCAAAGGACGCGACCAAACGCCTGGCCTGGATGCAGCAGGAATAGAGCCTGGGTTGGGGCGGGAAAACGTGCCAAGGGGGCGTCGGATCACACGGCTGACGTCAAACGCCACAGGCTGCTGGGAACAGGCCGCGACGCGGCCCGCCGGCTCTGGGCCCAGGCGCGCCGCCAGAGCCAAACGTTGTTGCTCTTGGGAGATGAAAATTTTGCCGCCGCCACCGCGGGCGCAGGCGCGGGACGGACGTGGCGCGGCCCCGTGTTGCGCGTCAGTCGTCGGGGTCGCCGGCCCACGACAGCTTTTGGCTGTCAGCTGATGCGAAGGGGCTGTCTAACGAGTTGACTGGCGCTGACAGCAGCACGCCCCGAAGTGACATCATCACGTCCCCACACGCCAGCCCACCGCTC